AGAGGAGAGGAGATCAAAGGCACGCAGCTCCGCCAAGCGTCTCCCTGCGCCGCAGAAGGAGCAGCGAGGGTGACTATAGGCTGTCCGACTATACGCTGAGCAACAGCAGCTATACATCACATTTCTATATTTAGCTCAGTCCTTCCACTACAGCCTATCAACACCGCTAAGGGACTGTTCGGTATTTATGAGGGGGGGAGGAGGTGGTGCAAAAAGGGGGAGGCATGTCAAATAGTTTTTTAAGCACTGGGGAGGGACTTGAGTTTTTTATTCTGGCTGTATTTTGTCTTTATCTTACCTAAGGGTGGGTGATGTGTCAAATATACTCGATGTATCGCAGCTTGTTCCTTGTGGGATGTATAAAATGACTGTATTGCAATGAGTATAGATTGTCACGTCATTTTGTTATGCCATGGACATGGCTCTCTGTCTCACAGACACACAAAGACACACTCCTGAGCGACAGTGTGGAGCAGGTGTAGCGTGTCTTATCTGCAGGGCGGCAGGACGCTACTTGCATTTGCAACCATGGAGCACCACTGCGACCTGCAAATATCATTAATATTTGAACTGTAGAGCTGTTTGTTTGTTTCAGCTTACAGAGAATAAACTCACGTTTAAAGACGCAGCGGCGACAGTTAAACTTTCTGCTAGCTGCTAACAACAACTTTTGACCGCAGGTTTTAAGTTTACGGCAAAAACATCAACATGTACGGCCCGAGATTGAGCCAGGGGCTTCAAAATAAAAGCACTAGTGGTTAGGCTTTGATGTATTTAAAGATAACAATATTTTATTTAAATTTATTGTAACAATACTTTATTTAACTTTGTTATACCAGTATTTTATTTAACTGTACTTAATTTACCTTTATTGAAACTGTAGCCTAATTCATCATTTTGCATTTTAGTACTCTACAGTAGTTTAGAGGAGATGTAAAAATATTGAGATAGATTGTGTAGATTTTTTTTTTTGACCACAAACATGCCATTTTTTCTAGCCAGAAACTGTAAAAACAGAAATTATCATTGGATTTGCACATTTCCCACAGTCCTTGGACGTGTCACTAAATAAAATGAACCAAAATCCAAATCCTGATCCAATCATGGATTGCAGGCCTTTTAGCTTTTCCTTCAGGCTGATTGATTTGGATGCTTACTAAATATGTTGGCTAATTCTAGCTCAATAGCAATGTTAATGATTGCTAGCGAGCTAGCTAGTAATGCTAGCAAGCTGTTAAAACTACAGTACTACTCTAATATGTAGGCATGAGCTATTAAATATCATATATGTGTATATACTAGATAATCTAACTAAATAATATTTTGAGGCAGGATGCCCCTTTGCTAAGGGGAAAAAAAGTTCTTTCTTTCTTTCTTTCTTTCTTTGTTTTAAAATAAATTGAATGACTCTCATTGCAAACCCCCATCATCATCATGTATATATATCAAAGCTGTTCATGTGCAACTTAATAGAAATACATAGATCACTATTTTCCAGTGACAAAAAATTACATCAGTTAATCCTAAATTAGGGTGGAATTAATCTCAAGAATGCTGCAGTTCAGAAGAAATGTCACAATTCATTATAACCATTCAGTTCATCTACTGGGAGTATATTTCATGCCATATGTTGGTTAAGGGAGAAATTAAGGGGGAAGGGGCATCTTCCTCCATCTTACCCTTTCAAACATCAAGGGGTAAGTTATTAAAATCTAATTAGTAATTTTCTCATAGTGACTCAGGGAGACTCAAACAAAAACAAAAAATGTTTGTAGCTTCAGGGAGGGTCAAAATTTAAAAAAAAAAAAAAAAGAAAGAAGAAGAAGAAGTCAGACCCCAGCCTCCCCCCTCCCCTGATAAATAAAGAACAGTCCCTAAGTTAGCAGCGCTGCTGGGAGAGAGAGAGAGGGTAGTGGAGAGGTAGAGGAGCGACATACACACAGAGAAGAGAACGGGGAAAAGAAAACCAGAGAGGAATTGTTTTGCTCTGTTGCCATGGTGACACGGCGACTGGAGCTGTAGCGAGCTGACAGTTGTCACGGCACAGCGGGTTGCCATGGGTGACAGCTGTCAGTCAATCACGCAGAGTGAGGGGACAGATCGGCCGATGATCACCTTGGATTAGAGAGCGATCGCAGCACACAGGGGCCAGCCAGAACATATCTGGATTTAATCCCCATGTCCTAATGGCGCTGCTCTCTGGTGTGTGTGTGTGTGTGTGTGTGTGTGTGTGTGTGTGTGTGTGTGTGTGTGTATTCATCCATGTTTGTGTGCACGCTTATAGTTTTGCAACTGCAGTCTGGACTTGCAGAATTTGTGTGTGCATGCAAATATAGCTTCTCATTTTCACTTTGTGTGTGTGCCTGTGAGTGTGTGTGTGTGTGTGTGTGTGTGTGTGTGTGTGTGTGTGTGTGAGCACGTGTTCATCCAAGCGAGGGGGATGTGTGTGTGTGTATTTGTGTCCAGACTCTGAAACATGTTCACAGGGTGAGTGGAGCAGATTACATTTAGCTGCAGCCGCTGCTGCCTGGGTCCTTCCCACAGCTGTCTGTGCTAGAGGACAATCAAAGGCCTGGTTTGTGAGCCTTCTGATTGTGGTGTGATGCTCAGACCCGCTCCCCTTCAATTACAACACTCTGCCCGCGTCTAACGAGCACGGCATTGCTCTTATGTTGGGAGAATTACGGTCTGATTAGAATAGGGGTGGATTTGAAGTCACACTCTGAGTTGTTTCTTTCTTTTCTTGGCAGATGTCCCGATCATGATCACCTCTGGTCACAGATGCTGTGGGACTAATGCACGCCTCACACCAAATGACTTTTCAAGTAGTTTCACTGTCACAGACAATTTTCCAGTGTCGGAATTAGGGCTGTCCAGAATACCACTTTTGGGGCTTCAGAGCTTCAGGGATAATTACCTTCAAATATTCAAAGCTTCGACGTAATGCGACAGGACCTTGGGGGGGTGGTAGTAATCAATCATATTCATATACGCTAATCAACCATCCAAACCCAACCCAACTTCGGTAGGACTTGCCACCTCTGTGTGTGTGATAGAGAGTGGGAAGAGAAGGTGGAAGGTGGACAGTTGCATGGAATATTTCTGTAAGTTCTTAATAAATCAAACGCTGCATGTGGAGCCATGTCACTAGATGGAAAGCAAGCGCTTTACCACAGCCGCAGATAACTCTCCACAATTCATCTCACCTGTTCCTTTTCTTTGTTGGACAGCCAGTTTAATTGTTTGAAGCTTTGCTAAGGACGCTGGCCACCTACTTTAAGTTTCCTCTGTCAGTTTACTGGGATAAAAACAAAAACAAGATGCATTGGAATATTTAGATGTTGATTACCATGGCAATGTTGAAGCTTCGAAGCATTTGGGTCAGCGCAGATCGGAATGAAGTCATTCGTCCTTGATCTTAATCGTTTTGTCTCTCATCTTGACATCCAGACAAAATCTCTTGCTCATGCAGATAGTTCAGTAACGTGAACATTGTCAACAACCAATAGCTGCACTCTCTGCAGCACCATACAGGAAACATCAAACCTGGGAGACAGGAAACTTGGAGGGGACACTTGAAAGGTGCAAGAACGTGAACAAGTCTTGATTCTCTTGTTCGGTGGAAAAGGAGGAGAAACTGGTGGAGTTGTGGAGTGAACAAGAGCCAGTGTTTAATTTGTATCTGATCCACCAACCTGTACTTCTTGTGGTGTGAAATCTTAACTTCTGAAACAGTTCACCTCTCAATCCCACTGTCTCCTTACATTAAAATAGCGTAGCTAACCAACAGAGGCGATGAAATCCAAAAGTTGACCTATGACCCTTTATCTTGTGTTTCTGGAGTTAAGTGTTTTGCAGACATGTAAGGAATTGTTAAAATATTTTTTTACACAGAACCAAACAAAGGCGGCATCGTGCCGCTCGAGTGTGTGATTTAGACAGCATGCCTGCATCTAGGGAGCGAAAGAGGTGCCACGGGCGTGATGTTAAACTCAACAGCGTCGGCCTCTGGCTTTATAAACAACAACAATCATTTACCGCCTCCGTTATATGGCGACTGACCTCGTCCTCTGTTCTGAAGTTTAGGAGCTACCAGACCTCATTTTTTTCCAATTTCATGACATTTTTGGCCGCTGTTCTTCTTCTTTGAATTAGCTGCTAACAGCCACTAGTTGCTTTTAAACTTCACAGCAGTGGGTTGCATGTATAACACGCCATCAAAACTTCACATCCATGTTGTGCTGCTGGCTGCCACCTTATCAAAGACGATCATTAGGCGCTGTTACTACCTCCACTGTTGAATTCGAGGCGAGACAACTCTGTCCCCCATTCCATGATCAAACCTTTTATAAAGAACAGCGAAGCGGTTCAACGGCACGAAAATCCTGCCTTGAGCAGGCAGTGTAAAGAGGGTTGTAGTCTTTAGATGTGAGAAGGTTCAGACTTTAGTTTTTCAAACTCTTTTCAGTCTTCTAATGTATGACAGACAAAAGTCTGACCACTGGACACTTGACTCTTTGCAATGCTCTAAATCCAGCAATTGAAGTTTATTCTGTGCTGATTCACAGTTCCAACCTTGAATATGTTCTCCTGCTGTAGAGACGTCAAAGCACCGGAGTCACCTCTGTGACCTTACAACTATTAGACCTTTAACAGTGTTCATATGTTATGACAGCACCCCCGTGTAATGTCAATACTTTGCTGGTACGATAGTAATTAGAGGGTAGTTGAAAAAGGCAAGATTTCCTCAACCAGTGAAGCACTAAATTTGCCGTCCCAGTCAGAACTGGAGAGAAAGATGATGATGTATACTTTTCCCCTCAGATCTCACACACAGCCTAATTGGGAATGTGGTCAGAATCTTGTTGCGTGTCTCCACCCTTTGGCCTTTAACAAAAATTGAGGCTTCATGTGAGAAGCCAAGTGAATTTTACAAGCTGACCTCATTTTCTCCTTTTTCTCTCTCTCCCTCCTTCCTCCTCTTCCTCTTTTCTCTGCAGGAGTGAGCCCTGGGCTGGATGGGACCCACCATGCCCCCCAGTAAGAAGGCCCAGAGCCCCAGTAGTGGAGCCAGTGCCTCGCAGGGTATGAGCCCGCCGTATCGGCAGGGGGACGCCGCCACAGCAGCATCCGAGGCGGAGGCGGCCGACCTCTCCCTGTCCCTGTCCGCCTCCTTCTCCAAGGCCGAGGACGAGGAGCTGACCAGCCTCTCCTGGCTCCATGAGAGCACCGACCTCCTCAACAGCTTCAGCCACTCGGGGCTGCGTAGCGTCTCCCCCCTGCAGGACCCCGACGGTCAGCACCCGCGGTCACCCTCCTCCTCGTCTCCATCCCCGGATGACCCCCTGCTCGGTGATGCCCACTCGGCGTACGACCTAGCAGCGGGGGCAAACAGGAAACCGCCGTACTCCTTCAGCTGTCTGATCTTCATGGCTATCGAGGACGCGCCGAACAAGCGGCTGCCGGTGAAGGATATCTACGGCTGGATCCTGGAGCACTTCCCTTACTTTGCAAGCGCTCCCACTGGCTGGAAGAACTCAGTGCGCCACAATCTGTCGCTCAACAAGTGCTTCAAGAAGGTGGATAAAGACCGGAGCCAGGTAAAGACACCAGCACTCTGTGTTGGATTATATATACTTTACTAAAAGCAAAGGGCCGGGTATTGACTTTTACTGTTTGGTTTTTGGTTATCAAAAACATGCTCCAGTTCTTTTCCAGTTGATTTATTATTCCTTGAGCACATTAACCGACCTAATCAGGAACATTAAATGTTCTTGTATGGCTGCTTGTTTTAATGCAACATTAAACATGAATGCTTTTATAACTTATTTTCATTTCACCACTGTGGTGAAACGTATCACGTAGTGTTGTATTATGTCTCACAAGGGGTTTGGTCCAGAGGGACCACTTAAAAATGTCCTGTGACCTAAATGTGTCCAAACCGTCCCCTTAAAGTAGAGGGCAGAATTCTGCTGTTAGCAGGCGACTCATTTTTACATTTTATCTGCTGTAGTCATGAATGTGATTCAGACAAAGTGGAATTCAAGAATGTAACTGACTTTTGTGCAGGAAGAAATGTTACTCTGTATTGTTCAAATATTTCAAAAGACAGTGAGTGGATAGTTTGTTAGGGGCTTTCACACCTAGAGTCGTCTCCTTTGGTCTGAATCAGGGACAAATTTTGTTCCAAAGTTGTATAATTGCCTAGAGTTGGTTCATGTTCTCACGGCAGCATTTACAAGCGGACCAGATCAAATGCCTTGTGTGAGAAAGCTGCTCTTGATTGGTCAGAATTTCCATGAGGGAAAAATCCAGGAAGTAAAGCAAACGTTGAAGAAGAGTACACTTGCAAGATAAATGTGACACTTTCTAATGTCACAATGGAGGGATAACTACGCAGGTTGATTTTAGCGCTGCTCATCGTGGACTATATTGCTGTCATTGTTCATTTTAGTCAAACCATACAGTTTGAAAACGAGGCGCGGCTCCAACTAGAAAACAATGTTTTGATGCATTGGATGTGCTGAATGTGCATATTAAGGCAGTACATGAGGAGGTGCACATTAATAATCCTCCAGGACTGTAACATGCTCATGTTTAACCCAAACAATGTGTCATGTGACTGCAGTTGGTTCAGATCCAGGTCGGAACACCTTCTCACCACAAACCAACCGCACCAGAATTCGTTTGTAACCGGACTAAGACCACCTCTTCAAGGTCTCGGTCTGGTTGTTTTGGTGCACACCTGAGTGTGATTGCTGTGTTCACACCTGCCCAAACGAACCGCACTGAGGGGGCAACAAACTGGAGTTTGATTGAACCGAACCAAACCGGGCACTTGTGAAAGTTTAGTTTGTTTTTGAGAAATTTGTCTGTAGATAAACAGTCTAGCTTTATCTTACTAAGCATGTCAGTTTCCAGCACTGCACATTCTTGCTATACAGCAGTGGACACTGACCAACAGATAACGCTCGTAGTTGCAGTCTCTCAGCACTAAAATTCGATGGTTCCAGATCATTTTTAATTGACACTTCCTTAGAGCTGACACCTTCTGGTCAGTTGTTCTGGTCCTTCTAAATTCTCATTGGTCGGACAGTCTTTGGTGTGACTTTTATAAGCAGCGGTGTTTTTTCCCACCAGCCGCTCTTCTGCAAACGGCCGGCTAGAAACACCAGAGCACTGTCAGGTGCTGCCTTTTTTCAGCTGGTTGCATCTGGTTGCTATGATACTGAATATTGAGATGATATGGAAATAAAAAAAGTCAGCACGAGGCAGAGGACTTGCTTTGAATGAAGGGAATGTGTAAAGTATTTGTGTCTTTAGGCTGCAGACAGCCCAGTTTAAAGAAAAGACCGTCTTTCAGGCAGTGAAATACGTCTTTAATGTTACTGAGCAGCAAATGTGGAAACTGAGGATCAGTCGTCACTAAACAGAGGGCCAGTTTTCATGTACAACGTATTTACTTATTAATCAGTTGTAATTATCACAGCAATTAAGCTATTATCTCACACAGTAAAGGAGCTGTTCCATCTGAATTTCTAAATACACACAAACTCTTTAAAGATTAAATAAAATACTGATAAAATATTTGTTGCACAACTAGGCCAGTGTGAAACAAAGGATGTACTCATCTTCATGATCCTGTCATTTCCATAAATGTCTAATTGTTTTGATGTAATCAAACCAGCCTTTTAGTTTAGTTTAGTTTATTTAAGCAGGGACAGTGCAAATAAATAAATACACATGGTATTAAAATTCCAAGATTAGCCAAAAGGCTATTTTTCATCTGCGGTCTCTTGGCCAAGATGTTACACAAGGCTACTTAAATTACAACAAACCACAAAAAAAAAACATAGAAACAAACAAAACAAAATGACAAAAAAAAAAAGAAAACAGGGCATACACTTTAAAATACGAACATTAGTATAATATACTATAATATTATTGCTCCACAATATGAAAAAAATGATATTGTGATTATTTCAACAGATATTGGAATTGAATTATAAATCAGCATTTTATTAGTGTGGTAATTTTTGCCTTTCTTTTTGTCTAAAATAAAATATAAAAATGAAGATGATGGGATTTTTGCTGAGGTCTGTCCCAAACAAGCACTTCCATCTGGAATATGATTTGAAGGCTGAGGCATCTCCCCAGAGCCACAATGCTTCAGTAGCTATGTTTCCACCCAAAAGTGATTGGAATCATTGGGGAATGCACATTAAAGAAACACGAATCCTGTGTGTTTCCATTAAATGTACGGACTTTGGTGAAAACTACGAACTTGCGCAAGTTTTCCGCAGAACCGGAAACTAAACAAGTCTCACATTCTTCTTCTTCTACATTTTCTGGCGGTTGGCAACCAGCTTGTAAATGCATTACCGCCTTCCCGACCCGGAGTGTGGATATCACCATGGAGAGAGGTGCGCCATGTCAGACTTAATTTGAACATAAATGTTTCCTTCCCCCGTTTTGCAAATCAACATTTTTTCAAATCAACCAAAACCCGGCTTAAGCGAGCGTATTTTAGTTTGTGCCATTCAGGGGATTTTAATTTGAATTTTGGCGTTTCCATCATAATTTTCCAATGCGATACTTCTAGATGCGCATCTAAACAGGCTGATGGAAACATGGCTATTGATAACAGTATGATGACAAATTTTAGCTGAATCAAAAAAATAGCAGCTGTGATTCGGATATTGCAGTTGGCCATATTGCTGTTGTGATAATATTTTCACTGATTGTGCAGCCCCACCTAATATTGTGAGTGGTGATACAGGTGCGCTATATCAGGATATCACCAGTATAATTTTTACTATGATTTGAAAAATTCATATTGTGATATTGGAAATATTTCAACTTGTTAATATAATGATGTCACACTGTTACCCACGGCAAGAGCAAAATTATAAGATACTCCACGGTGGTTCCAAAAAGAGGAGCAGCTTCAGTAGTGTGGAATAAACTGTGGCATCCTGAATGTTTTACTTCTCTTAGTGCTCAGAGGGAACTCATTCAGCGGCTGCTCTGGCAGCAGCACAGCGTCTCTCCCTCTCCTCTCTCACCGTGCATAAAGTGATTCTGTCAGAAACCTTTGGTGATGTAAACCTACGAGAATAAACTCCATATATGTGACTGTGTGATAGTTGTGGTATCATAACAGCCTGTCAAAGGCTACAGCGTGATGATTAGAGGAGAAATGGCAGAGCATAAAGGTCCAGGTGGAAAAAAAAAAAACCCAACTCAATCATTTAGGATTTTACTAAAAGAAGGAAATCACCTTAGTGGTAGATTTTATATACTTGAACTATTAATATTGTAACAGAATCTAAATCTCACTCTAAGTTACTGTTGTTGTTCACAAACTAAAGAAATAAGAGATCTTTTTATTTAGTTTTTGCTAAAGATTTGAAGCAAACTGTGAAACTAGATCACTGATTTTGTTGCGATTCCATGTTCTTAAATTAATAATAACATTTTTTTTAACTAATTTGTCACATCGTAAACAATATTGTTATCGCAAATATACCCTGAAATATCGTGATATTATTTCGGGGCCATATCGCCCACCTTTACTCCAAACACAGACTCAGGTATTGAAAAAATAATTCCCCAATTCAAACCAGTGCAGGGATTTTTTTATTACTTTTCATCAGTGGTCTTCTTGATACTTACAGGGTAAAATAACAACACTCGAACTGAATGGTAAACACAGTACGCGGCTGATTATTCCCTCTATCATGTGTGGTTATAAGTTGTTTCACAGCCAGACAGTTATCAGCAGTTTGCAGGCATATCCAACTTGAAGTCAAACATATTCTGTATTTTGTCTACAGCTGTACCAGATTCGGCCTTATCAATACTTGATGATCTCTGCTTTCATAGTTCTCTTTCACTCAGACGTTGTGCGCTCCCCCAGTGGGAACAGCATTTCGCTTTTGATTTAAGTCTTGATACAGTCTTTTATACCGGCTTTTCCTATCCAGATTTCACTCCATTAAACACTCGGGGTAAACGGGGAATGAATCCCTCACTCAATTAGTGCTAAATTAATACTGGAGGATTTAATAACACAGATGCCAGCAGACTTTAGATTTCATCGTGCCTGAGGGTGCTGGTGGGGGTGGGAGGGGGCAGGGGGGACAAACAGCGCGGATCAATGCTGGCTTTGCGTGTTTAGAGATTATACTGGAGGATATGGGAGCGCTTTCCCTGACCAGCGTGTGAACCTGAACTCCTCCTTTTATGAGTGTTGAGGAACAAAATGGTTGAAGGATGAAGAGGACATAGTGTGTGTGTGTGTGTGCATGTGTGTGCATGTGTGTGCATGTGTGTGTGTGTGTGTGTGTGTGTGTGTGCGCACACGCCCTCACGCTATGCTGTCATCTGGCCCTTGACTACAACGGCGCAGAGTTTCTCTTGTATACATATCTCCATAGTAACTAGGTTGCAGTTGACATAAAAGTATGCTGTTGCTGTAGCAACGGGAAAACTGATTTGGCTTTACTGACTTAGGCGTGTGTGTGTGTGTGTGTGTGTGTGTGTGTGTGTGCATGCGTGTAAGCTTCAGATGGGCACAGAGGTGCTGAGTGGGGGAGAA